AGAACCATAGCACATTCTGAGGACTTAAAGGAAAATATAATTATCAGAAGACACTAAGCACAAATAGCCTGAGAGGAATGCATAGTAGAGTCTTCATACTTCCAGCTGGCAATTAAGTTAGGTAGAATGAAATCCAGACTTACTATACAAGTCAGCAGAATGACTCAGATTTTAGAGTTTAGAATTTAGAATCTATCACTAGAATTTACCAGGTGGGAGAAACATGTATTCTAGATGATCAATAGGAGGGAGTGTACTACTTTGTGAACAAAAGTGTTTTAGCATCACTTTACAAGAGAGGGCTTTAGTGCTTTACAGAAAGCCCTTAAAAGCTTGCTAATAGTATATGTCAGCCTTGGGCTTTAACTTTTTCATGCTACTTCACAAAGCTTGCTTCTCCAGCCCAAAACAAAGGCCAGCTAGCTTGCTTGCTCTCCAGAAAACTCCAGTTTGCTAAGGCCTCTGTCAGAAGCTTTCCTGTCATTTAAAAAACACAGCACTGTGATTTTCAGCATGATTGCTATAGGCATATTAAATATTTGGCAAAACTCCTGTCCAATCCATGGAGGCAGAGGTGTTTGCTAGGCAGAATAAGGCTGTGGTATTTTTTTTTCCCTCTAAGCAAGCTCAGAAGGATTAAAGCCTAATCTTAATAAGGGCCTCCAATTACACTACTCTTACACCCGGTGACTAGTACTCTACTCAGAAAGTAGTTCTATACTACTATAGTAATACACAGAGGGAATAAGGCTACTACAATTTGCTCCTAAAATAAGTCCCACATACAATAGTGGTAGCATCTAATTAACACTAGCTACCAAAAGGAGATTGTCTTTTCAACACTGGTACAGTTTTATACTAATCGTTGTGGTAGTGCCTAGGAGCTATTGCGCTAGGCACTGTGCAAACACGAAGAGGTCCCAGCACCCTAAAAAGTTTACAATTTAAGTATATAACAAGAGGCAACAGGTAGAGACAGCCAGGAAGAACACAAGGAAACATTGTGACAATATTAGTCAGTCTAATAGCCAGTGAATTCAGGACAGCAGCTGCCTCTGTTGTCAAGATTGTTGTAGGTGTTACGGCAAAGAAGAGTTAAGAAAGAACTGAAAGGACAAGGATGTGGCTTTGCAGAGGATTACAAAGCATTTCCTCCAAATTTGTAAGGAGCCCCATAGCAGAAAGCACGGAAGATGCTTATTTGAAATTTAACCTTTAGATGGTGGAGACTGGCATCAACATCATGGTATCAGGTAAGAGAACAGATATCAGGGCAAGTGAACGCATGCGGTTTATGTTTGATGCAATAAAAGGGGAAGCTAATAGTAGGAATCTCCTTTAAGTCAACACTGTAGTTTCAATGCTAGCCTCAAGCAGGACCTGGCTTAAGGTGGTTGGAAATACCTCCCCAAAGAAGTAGTTTAATACCACTGCACAGCATTACCTGGAGGTCCAATGTAGCAGCACCCTACTGTACTAGGTGCTGTATAAAAATAAGACAATCCCTACCCTATAGCATTTACTATCTAGATTATTGCCCTCTCATATGAATGGGAAGGATTAGTCAGTCAGTGCTTATACTGTGTTTTGAAAGCGCATACATTCATAGAATGTAGATGAGCACAGACTAAGATGCTAGAAAGTAAAGTGCTGTAAGTGTCAAGTATTATAAAGCAGAGTAGTGTAGATTAAACCTGAACAAGCAAAGGCTAGGAGTCTACACATGGATATTTTGAGCCAAGTTAGAAAGGTGAAGCTTCATTTAAGTTAGATTCAACTACATATTTGGGAAAATATTCACTAAAAATGCTCAAATATTGAAAGTCCTATTTTAATTGTCAAATCTGAGATGAAATGGACAGCCAATTGACAGCCATGTAACTGAAAGTTAGGAGGCTAAGAACTATTCAGTCCAGTTATTCATTCTGTTTATTGAACTGAAGAAAGGGAATACAAACATTTCTGTTAAGTGCTGTGCACTGACATGGAAAAGTGTACTTTTTTTTAAAAAACCCTAATAAAAACAAAATCAGAAGTTATGTAGTTCCAATTGAACAATTTTCTTTTTAAAGATGTTTAAAATACTACACATTTATAAAATAAAAAAGTTAACAAAGGGTGTTCTGTAAATAATTAGTAAAACAAGTGAAAATAAATATGAGACCCAACATTCTTATATTTTAATGTAATAATATAGCAAAGAAATTTAAACTACTTAATATAATCCAAGAGGACAGTAACAAAAATCCAGAAAGTTTAAGAACGCAATCCTTTGAAACATTTAATATCAGTCCATAGCAAATAGTCATTACATACCAAAAGCTCTAAGTGTTAACTAGTTCCACCACAACTCCATATAAATCTTGACAATTTAGAAATCTTGAGATCAACAGTAAAGTTCTTTTCTTGATCTCTACAGCTTGGTTTGTAAGTACATACATGCTTTGATGATCCATTTTATCCCATACATTTTCAAGGAGCCAATAACTTTTTTCCATCTGTGCCTAAAAATGTTAAAGATTCAAATCTAGCACATTACCCTAACAATGAAAAATGTTTAAGTGAAAGATGGGGCACACTGAATTTCAAATTTATAAAAATATACTGATATTAACTGATGCCTGTAGTCAGAGGACACTTCACATACACACAACGTGACAAAGTATGCAATAAAACATGACCAGTACCTAGAACACTTGGTTCCATGTCTATGTAATACACACATACACACACTCTCTCTCTCTCTCTCATATATACCAAATAGGAAAACGTTCACACTTAGCTGTTTTACTGAACCCAGGTAATCTGGCTTAGCAGACAGGAAATGGGTTTATAGTTTGTGTTTCAGCAACAAGAGGCAGCTACTGCAGCAATTCAACACTGCACAATTCAATGAAGTCCACCCTGTTTTAAAAAGAAAAGTGTACAAGAGTTAATGAAGTTTTGCCAATTGTCTTTAAAATTAGCAGTTCTTCCTAAATCAGGTATGTTAGCTGAAAATGGACACAAATCAATGTGTATTTTTTAAAGCCATATATAGGATTGATGCTCCTCTTTTTAGCAATTGTTTCAAATAAATTAAATTGAGACAACTTACTGTTTTAGGGATATGAACAAGAGTCTACTGAAAGTCTGTCTTCTCTCCTCTCTGGTCGTCCCTCACATTATCAGCCAACAAATCTGGCTGTAAACTAGACTTGTATGTTGATTTCCCCCACCTTTATGTATATAGTCTACTCAACATGGACTGACTGTGTCAGCTCTACTTTCCAGGAAGCAATATCCTAATAAAGAAACCTTCAAACTTTTGTTTGGATTGGGATCATTATTTATTGGTGCAGCGAGATGCCACTAGACACAAATACTGCCAATAGTGAATTGATTGCATTAAACGTTACCTGCTTGAAACCAGGATGACAAGTTATTGGCAAGAGTTGGATAGTATTCCAGCTTGCATCTTTGCACAAGTTTTAAAATTATTAGGGTTACTTCTTTTACATTTGAAGAACTTGTACTAAGAGTGAGGGTATTGGACATAAAGTTAAGTTTTTCAGAAGAGAGATTTGTAACAGCAGCTTATTTCCCCCTTTGTGTTCCATCTCCTCTCTCAAAAAACTACTTACCTGAACAGCGCAGGCACATTCAGATAAATGGTTAAGCATAGGAAAGATTTACATTGCTGATAATCAGTAGCTATTGTGACCATTTTAATCAACAGCTACAAAAAAAAAAAAAAAAAAAAAAAAAAAACCCCAAGATTACAGTATGTTCCCTCAGAAGTTTAGCATCAGTTACTAGAAATAACTGATAGTTGGGGATAAATATAACTCTTATTTGCTCCAATCCTTAGATCCCAGCCTAAGAACATTTTTAAGCACATGGAAATTAACACATTGCAGATGAGTCTACTGCATTTGCTTTTTCCATAAGCCAAAGTCTTATTTTTGGTCTATGGGCAAAAAGTATTGGTACTTTTCAAACCACACATTATGACTATGTGGTAGCATGTTAAAAATAGTTTAGGCTGCTCTTTAGTCTAGAGCCTAGAACAGTAGCCAATCGTCATTCACTGCCTATAGGCCTACAGGTAAGCTTGCTGTCAGACTAAGTACCATAAAGTTTTGTTTTGCCACAGTCTCACCTTTCTATCAGTCTCTGCATATCACGTGTAAGATGCAGGCACAATGTATATAGCAAACTTGGTAAGACAGACTTCTAGAAATGAATCACACCACCTAGCTGGTGCAGAAGCCTTCCCATTATATTGCATAGTTGAGTTACATAACTAAATTTAAGTGGCAATCTCAAAATGTGCTTCTCACTAACCCCATTCCGAAGTGTTCACCATGTATACATTAGGAGTAGACTCTAAAGTCCAGAAGCTCTTGAATTTGGAAGTTGCAGGCGGGCAATACATATTTTGGCAAGAGAGAATTAAAGTTTAATATTCTTTGTCACATATCTCAATGAAAGAGAAGGTACTGACTCAAGTGTGCTCTAATGTGGGCTTGCACTAGATATGGAGTCCCTGCTAATAGTTTTAGCTATAGGCGCTATGCTTAAAATCCTGTGAAGTGACTAAGCACAAATCAATCTTCTGGATTTATATTAGGGGCTTGATCCTGCATTCCTTACACACACAAAGTTCCCAGTGAAGTCACTGTTAGTTTTTGGGTGAACAAACAGCGACAGAATGGGCTCCACGTCATCTAAAAGTATAAAGGGTAAAAAAAAAAAAAAAAACCCTTCAGTTACAGCATTACATGCTCTTAGTGGAGAAGAGATTTTTATTCAGGTTTAAAGGAGAGTGTAATGCTCTAACAATGCTTAAAATGCCAAATTAATAGAATATATGTGAAGCCTTGAAAGTTGTAAATAGCAGCACAGTTGCTGTTAGCAATTGTACGCTACTTTGAAGATGTAAAGCACTGTACAAAATTTAGATATTCAACTTTTATTTAAACCAAAATGGTTAGCCTGCCAAGACTTGAGTTCAGTGTTCTTTGCTTCTCCTGCAACCTGTACTATCACTGACACCACAGAACCAAGACTATCATCTTCATGCTGTGACATGCCATTAACGGTGGCAGAAGAAACAGAATGTTGATATCCAGAATTAACCGGTCAAGAGAAGAGAACTAATTTTCCATATTTTGGTTTAAAGTTTGTTTGTAATCCAAGTCTACCCAGATATTGATTTCTAATATTAAATAGTATTTTATATTTGTTTTAAAAGCATTTCAGTTGAATTGTAAAGTAAAGTAATTTTAGGAAGCTGAAGACAAATGAACTAGATTGAAGGTACTGACATTCAGTTCTTATTTCAGATGGAAAAATATCGAAATATAGGATGAGGTCAAATTAAGGGTTGGTCTCAGCAAAAATTGTGTATAAATTTTTAAAGTGTTTAAGATAACATGCAAGTGAGTCAAAGAACCTAATGGCCATAATCTATTAGAATCTCTCTTGTATTATATGCCTTGGGAGCATCCATTTGGGACCTGTCCCCACCCTTTAAAAAAGGTCCTATTACTGTGTTATTTCCTCCATTCCCTTTACCCAACCACGAGTCTGTTTTTTCTTCCCACGGACAATGGCAAAGTTATCCCTTCACCCAACCAAGGAGGACACTAGAGTACTTACTTAGTCCCTGCAGGAGACTCATCCACCCTTTTGTTCACATCTTTCATGATGGCCTGCCTTTTTCCCCTGTTCCCTCTTTACTTCATGGCAGCCCTGATACTACCTTCATCATCCAGTTGAGAAGAGGGAAACCTAACACCATTCCATAATCAACTGCCAAGTAGTGCAGAAGCACACTAGAGATACCAGGCCACCTGTTTATTTTGAGAAGCATACAGTACTCAAATTGTCTTTTTAATAGGAAATTAAGGAACCATTCCTAAAAACGTCAGGCTATTCACAGCACCAGCACAGAACAAGGTCCAGCAGACACATTTAAACCTGTAAACTTCAAAATATCTCAAAAAACAAAAATCTATGCATCTTTGTTAGTCAAATACTAAGGAAAATTCTGCAGTTGTATTTAAGTTAGGGGGAAAATTATACAAATCGTCAATATGTATTGTAATTTGGATGATAAAGGTACTTTTACTAAGTTTTAAAATTACAAAGCAAAACAGCATTATCCTTGTTTCAGATCCTTCCTAAGCTTTTATCAGAATTGTTGCACAAGTTAAGATAAACTTGTTGCACGTATTTATGTAATCTAAAAACTGACTTTTGTCCTGTTTAATAAACTACTAGTCTCATGGTGCATTTTGACAGCTCTCACTTCTAAATAATTCTGTTTCTTCATTAAGATGGGAAATGAGGTTTCTTTTAAAAGAATACTTTACGTAGCCTGTGTAAAACTCCTTTCAGCCACTTCTTTTGACCATGTCTTGCATGACACTCTAAAAGAGCATCAGTTATACTGCATTTCATGACACTGTTTTTAAGCTGGTTTAAATTCCAAATGTATACAAATGAAGTCACTTTAATCCTATAAATAATTTATTTTTTAAAAAAATTGTGCTGTTAACCCCTTTACAGGGCAACGAGCTATGTGAAAAGTACAAAACTTTTTGTCAAGTGTGATATTGAGAGTGCTTTTGACATAGTTCACTGGTTTATCGTCTGGATTTATAGATACTGCGCAACGGGCAAGGCTAGAGTCCATGAACCAAGCTGCAAAGATCTCAAGCTAAATAAGGCGGAGAGAGATTTAGAGAAACAAGAGAAGGAAATACTTTCCTATCCAATGTATACTCTTCAGACTAAAGCACTCTTTCTATCAAGCCTTCTAAACTGTTAAATAAAGTTTTCCAAACAAGCATTTAAACTTCATTACACAGAAGAGCAACAAGAACGGTAGCCCGCCAGACAAAAAGGCAGGGGGAAAAAATATATATACTGAGTTCAATGGTTAGCCTGAATGTAGCACAGTTCTTCACAACCGATGGGGGGGGTAATTCGACACGGCGTCCAACAACGTTCTGACGACGTGCTTCATCTCAACTGGTTACTATGAAGCAAGGTGGTAAATGTTTGGCCCCGATCGGGCTTCAGAAATGGTTCTTTTTTCATGACGAGCATGTCTGTCCAGCTATCAATCATGTTGTTTGCACCAAATCCCAAGCCATTTAAAATACGACTAATTTTAAGTTAAAGAGAAGTCGTCTGCTCCAAATTCGCCATCAACTATCCATGCTACTGCATTCCTCTGAGCAAAGACAAGATGAAACGTAAAAGAAAGATTAAACTTGGATGATAAGGAATTTTTCAAGGTGTAACCACCTCCACTACAAGATATATAAATATAACTTACTTATATACATGTAACACACACACAAATTTAACATGCTTCAGAGTAATTGTGTGCTATGGATTTTATCCTCCTCACAGAAGGGGAGCTACTCTTTTCCATTCTATTAATGTATGTAACCAATAATCTTTTCACTTTAACAAAAAAAGTAGCTCTCTCTGACTTCCAAATATCCTCTCTCCTCTTTCAGGACATTAATACACAGTATTTGAAGAGGGTTTTTTTGGTTACTCAACACACACTACTTAAAAACTTCGTGACACACTGAAAATAAGCAATGGAGTGGACACTGATTAGAATTGACATGATTTTTTTCCCTAGTGGAATCTCTTACTTACAATTTTTAGATATAGATCTATAGTGGGAAAGGATCACTACGGAGACAGTCCTGTTGGACTTCAAAAGTTCACAGAGAACATTAAGTGAAAACAATTACAAAAACTGTTTGCTTATTTTAAGATCCCTGAAATATCAGAACACTAATCCAACTATGCCACCTAGGTTATACACAGAGCACTATATAAAAGAAATCCACATTGTTTTTACTTTAAGTTTACCCCTCTGCCCCACTTTTCCTGTTATTCATGTTATACAAGCCTTTGTTTTCTTTTGGGAGGCAAATCTTAAATTTTAGATTAGCGTACAGTGGTGGAAATGGGAAGGGAAAGGAATGAGGAGAACAGGAGCTGGAAAGTATTTTGGGTTTGTCAGGACTGGTAACAGAATATATAGTATTTTACATCTAAGTATAGGGCTGATTTAGTTTAAGCCATTACCACCAGACAGCTGTTCAGTGGCAGGTGTTCACACAAGAGCTACCATCAGCAGCAACCTTGTTAGCAAATCTCAATAGAAGGGTTAGGGACTGAATAGACATGGATACTGAAATACCCTCATTGAAATACAGGGAATTTCCTCAATAGAGTTGAGATAGCAGTGGGGGAAAAACTTGCAATTCTACTGCCTGTGCTGTACCAGTTCTCTGGGTAAATGTCTAGTCACCAGGGCTATCTAGTACCTTTCAGGGGCATTACATTCACTTAAGGCTAAATACCCTCATTCTATTTCCAGAGTGAGGTTAGTATTTGTTATTTAATATTTGCATAGTTAGTATTTATATAATGTTTTATATATTCAAAGTATTAGAGAAAAAATTGTTATTCTACATGCAGCGAACACAGGCAATGTTAAGGCCATCTTGAGGTATCTAGGGATATTATAATCCACTCTAGCTCCATGTTGGGGGTTTAAAATGGTTCCTGGATGCCTCCAATAGCATCACTTTCCAGCTGTATATGTTTGGGGGAATAAGTAGACAGATTATTTTGCGGTCTGACAATTGAGGCCTTTTTCAGGAAACATAATTTTATTTGAGGCTTAAGAGTTGTTTACTATAGTATTTATATTCTTATTACATGTTTTAATTATTGTCAAGAAATCCAAAGCAACTGGATCGATTATTTCAATTACATAAGCTTTCCATTACAGTTTCTTTTTAAATATACATGGAAGTTGCTTTACCTTCAATATCCTGGTTGTCTACGAAAGGTGCTGGTCCCCATATTCTAACAGTGCCATCATCGGAGGCACTGGCCATCATGGATGGAATCTGCGGGTTCCAGCTCACACAGTTAACTGTACGCGTGTGCCCAGTCAGCTCCGCGATTGGCAGTTCACTACGTTTGTGCCAAATATACACTTTGTGATCTAAATAAAACATTGATTTGAAGCAGCAGCATGAAAAATATTGAATTAAAATGTCTTTACATAAATCTCCTAATTTTTCATATTAAAATTACACTCTTCCAGATACCTAAAAACACAGTATTGCAAACTAAAAAAATTAAGTGTTGCAAATTCTAAAATTGAACCCCCCTAACGTGCAGCAACACTAGGTTTCACTCTAAAGAGGGGATCTGATCAAGAGTGTGGGCAAAACTCAGACATGTCTTATTAAGACTTACAACTCTAGCGAGCAAATTATCTGAGGGAAAGCATTTGAGATGGCACTGAATCTTATAATTGTCAGCCAATGCATGGCCAGAAACACAAGTCAACCTCCTCCTAGGTTAAGGATATGCTGTTGCAAGCTGATTCAAGGAAAATACTGGTGATCACTGAACAATGTCTTGATACAATATTTAGAGGACAATACATATTTATTACACAGACCCTGTGTTAAGATCCAGTATTTAGGAGTAATAAATAAGGCCTCATTTAGAATAGTTAAAGCATAAGTCTTGGTACTGAGGCCTCCAAAAATTCTAACCAACTTTCTCAATGACCTAATGGGGTCATGCACCTTTATAGTTTTGCTGTGCTTCTGTTTCCCCATGTGTAAAGTGGAAACAATTACTGACCAACCTCACAGGGTAAGGATTAATTAAATGTTTGTTTGGCATTTTGAAGTTGTAAAGACCTACATACTACATAGATTTCAAATAGTATTCTAAAGAACCTCTTTTTGTGAACAGTAGCAACTCCTGTTTATCATGAAATATATTTAAAAACTAGTAACTGGTCAAATAATCCATTGCAAATCTCTCAAATAAAAAAAACAAACACACTGCTTCATAATGAACTGCATTTTATTTAAGACGAACTAGTTAAAATGATATTTTCTCCTAATGTAGATTAACAGCTTCTGACAAACCTGTAGATTGACTGGTTACTAAAGGCTGCATCAGGTTCTCTCAAATGGAGCTACGTAGACTGAACTACAACAAACTATCTACTCACATGTATGTACACTACTAGACTAGCTTTTCAGAATTAAAGCTTTGAAGAACAGACTAAGACAACACTTTACACAATCCAATGTGATTCTGAAGGTTAAAAAACAAAAAACAAAAAAACAAACATCACCTTACCCTGTCCCTTACAAAAGGGGCTCAACTCTCTGACCTACCTGCTAGAATAGGACCTGGGAATCATTTGGTAAAGAAATTGCTTTCTGCTTAATCAGCTCATTTGAATAAAACCCCACCACATTATGGTATTTGCATGAAATACACCTTTTGTGTTTACATTTTTCAATCCCCTGATTTCAGATGATAGCGATAAGTATCCATTCTGGTATCAAACCAAACCAAACCAGTGCTCTGTCTATTCTGGGCCATAAGGCCAGCATCTGCTGTCTGGAGAATCAAAGTGTAAACACAAGCCAGTATTTTGGTGCTTGACAGTGGATGTGTGTGTAAAAGGAAAAGGACACACGAGCTAGATTAAGGCAGAAGTCAATTTTACTTTCAAAAAAGATTTCTTATTTTCTTCCTATAAGTGCAGGTGGTAGAAAAAAGCCTACCTAGCTGACAACATACCTTTAAATTTAAGAGGTTATGACATTCTAATCTGCTACTTTTTTTGTACATAGAGACTTTCACAGCAGCCACATTTGCAACAATTCAGTGCAAAGAGGCAACAGCCTCTGGCAGTCCGAATCTAAATAAGGTGCCATCAGCTTCAACTACAGCTGGGTAGTTTTTAGACACTGAAAATAAAAAAAATAAAAAAGCTGTTCTTAAGATGATGACCTGGATAAATTCATTACCACATTAATGTCACACACATAGTAGGTCATAAGTGAAGTGTCAATTAAAAAAAAAAAAAAAAAAGACGACAACTGGTGTACTGTAGCATGTACACTCCCTCACACAAAGCATCAGTATGGCTCAAGCACACAAGCCCTGAACTTTCTGGCACACAAGTACTAAACCCCACACCAGGACTCTGGCTCAAAGCTGATGAGGATGACACTGCATTAGAGGTGCTATCTTTCAGCTGGTATCTTCCTCTAGATAAGGGCAGAGGAGAAACGTGGTTTAAAATTTAAAGACCTTTCTGCACTTTCCAAAAAAGAGTAAGAAAGTGTGTCCTAGGCTACGTCTTCACTGTGGGGGGGAGGGGGGGGGTGTCGATTTAAGATACGCAAATTCAGCTACGCTAACAGCATAGCTGAATTCGACGTATCCGAGCCGACTTACCCCGCTGTGAGGACGGCGGCAAAATCGACCTCCGCGGCTCCCCCGTCGACGGCGCTTACTCCTACCTGCGCTGGTGGAGTACAAGCATCAATTCGGGGATCGATTGTCGTGTCCCGACGAGACGCGATAATTCGATCCCCGAGAGATCGATTTCTATCCGCCGATTCAGGCGGGTAGTGAAGACGTAGCCCTAGTCAACACTTCCTCTTTCCAAAGAGACTCCACTGTGAGCTACTGAGTACTAACACTGGTTACTCAGTTTACCTTCGTGCACTAAAAATACTGGGCCTGAGCAGGGCTCAGCACCCTAAGTCCCACTGATCGCAATGGGAGTTGAAGGAGCTAAGCCCCTCACGTGCCTGAACTAGTTCACTAGAAAGCAGTTTGGGACAGGCTCAGTAAACTAAATTCTATTCTCACCATAGACTATTTACAATTATGAAAAACACAACTCTTAAGTCACAAAAAAACAACCCACGCTAGAGTTGCCATGTCATCAACTGCTGGATCTGAGACTTTGTTTTTCCTCCCATTATAATTAATTCCACTTGAGTTGAGATGACTACTCTCCTGGGATTAAAATGATCTGACCACACCTGCCTTTGAAAAACTACTAATCAAATGAACATAAGTTACTCACTACAGAACTATTTTGGCCAAAAGCACAACTGCTAACGTCATGCCTCTCAAAAAAACCCACATACCTACACATAGTTAAAGCTTACTCAGTGCTATAAACCCATTATAGGAGAGAGAGATGGAAGAGACTTAGAGCATACAGGCTATCCTTTCTACTAGAGCAGGACTGTTCCTTACAATATATAACTTCAGGAGCACTGAGACACACCTTTGTTTACTCCTGTGGACAATAACTTCCTTTTATAGATTATAATGCTATTACCAGCAACTAACAATTAAAAATACATTGCATCATCCCCTTTTATACACACTGTGTGCTTGAAATGTACATCAACTGACATCTGAAGTCTTTAAAGCCGATGTTACCTTCACTGCCACTAGCGATGAAGTCTTCGTTATGGCCTCCAAAACACGAGTGAATTGTGTAAAACCCTTGTGTAACACCTTGATACTTTCTCACTAAAACTCTGTCTTGCAAGTCCCATAAGTGAACTCCCTGGGGGGGCAAAGAGCATGCCAGAGGTTATTTTTATTGTAAGACAATATCCAGCACCTACACTCTAAGTATTCCACTCTTATCATTTGTTTATTTTTGGCATGTCAACCATCTTAGGCAATAAAACTAGACTATAATGCGAAACTGAATGGATCTCATGCACTAGAACAATGGCTTAAACTCTTGTCCTGTCTCCTATTCTAGCACCAATTCTCTACTTTGTGGTTTCCAAAATACTTAAATTCTGAAGTCCATAAAAAAAAAAAAAGTTATGTGGAACACCAATATTCCAGGGATGATAACTCTAGAATATTGCTGCAACGTTGGGAAGTCAAACACATAAAATGAAGTGTTTATATCTAGCAGCAGATATTTTGTAATTTACAGTCAAAATATTTCTCTTCATACTACTTTTGTGAAGCCTTTTTTAAAAAATGACATCTTCCCTTTTGGAGAATCCTACATTTGTTTATTTGTGTATCTGTACATACTGTGGACTTCATGTGTTATGTGGAATACTGCTTTGTCTATTGTTTAATATCATTACAGATCCCAAATTCCCTCAGATTTTCTAAAAAATAAAATTAGTAAGAAAAAGTTTTACTTGTATTTTTATCTATCAACTTACCTGAGTTGCTACATTTAACAAAGCTAATCTGCCATTTTTTGAAATAGTAAATGACATAATAGGATGATCTTCTTGTACTCTGAAATCACAGGAAAGACACCATAATGTTAGGAGCACTACTATTTGGACATTTAAAAAAAAAGTAACACCAAGAAAGCACAAAAGTTTTCAGTTGCAATACTTCCACTCATACTTATAACTAAGTGGGCCATTAGTACTTTATTTGAAAGGGGATTACAACCAGAACTGAGTCATCTGGTTCTATTTCAGTATTTGCTGGGTCCACAGAGAAACTATACAATGTAGCTAGATAGTCTGTGTAATGTATCAGAATTACAGTTTTCTCAACAGGGGAATCAGACTAGATTTATGAGAGTTAAGAATTTGTAAGAAAAAGGTAGTTACATGTTCCTGTCTGTAAGGTCCTCAAAGTTATAACCCCGAATTCGCTGGTGCGTGTCCGATGCCAGAACAGTCTTCCCGTCGCTCAAACACCAGAGGCATTGCACTCTCACCCCTTCCCAGGAGTCAAGGAGATTACCATCTAGATCCTGTTTAGGAAGGAAATATAACCAAGGTGTTCTTTTAAGTTAGATTTCTAAGGAATTTTGATGAGAGCTTTTAGTTATAAAAACTAAAAGAATGAAGCAAGAGAGAACATTTCTCTTGTCCCGTATCAGATAAAATGTTGGTGATCATGAGAATTAGTGTATTGTTTGGAATCCCCTTCCATCTCCACCCTCAAACCAACA